AATCCATTACACTGGTAAGGTTTCTAAGGCCTGCTCTCGGGTTCTTTATAATTTATCTAACTTCCCTTTTAGCCACAGTAAACTCAGGAGTGTCTAAGAAGCATGGCCTGGCATACTTCCAATAGGTAAAGTCTGCTTTACCCTTTGCAAGACTTTGAGAGTTTTCCCTAATTTGCTAGGAAATCTCTTCTGGAAAAGAGTAGAACACTGTGGGAGAATTAAAAACTTACGGTTGAACATTTGACATTCAAATTGACATGTCAGTGCAGGAGTAAAGAAGCTCTTCCTAGGGCTCTCCTTGATCCCCCAATTATGGCTATAGACCTAAAAGAGGGGTTTCCAGAGAAGAAAGTTAAAACAGAAACCAAAGGAATTGAAATTGCTGACCCACGAGTCCAGGGTAACCCAGGGCTTTGTGCAGGAGATAGAGATGTCTGTAGACAGGGGTATTGAAGGTTGTTATGGGCCGCATCAGTTCTCTTCATCAGAGTGGGAAGTGAGGATTTTGGCTGCCCTAGTCCCTCCCTGGCAGCAGGGATGGTCAATCCTCCAATGCCTTGAGTCAGGCACACTGGACACCTGACACATGGAGCAGGACCTAGACGATGGCTGGTACATGTGCCTAGTGTCCTAAAATTGTAGGCTTAGCTTCTAGCTAAAGGGTAAGACTTCATGGTATCCATGAGGTCAGTTAAAAAAAGAAAATGGTGAACAAACGTGGTTCAAACATGGACCAATCAAGGTAACCAACCAAAATGACCAACAAACATGGCAGAATCATGTGACCCACTCACAAGAGGAATCAAAATGGCTGCCAGTCATGGCAGAAAGGTAGACTGAAGTGAAACAAGGCCCCAAGAAAGCAGCTCACTTAGGATACCCAGAGATAAAGATCATCTAGGGCAAAAGCACAAATGGGAATTTGAGCATAAGAAGGCTCCCAAAAGTGTGAGAAAGCTGAGCAAAGTATCACAGAAAACACAGTATCCCAGAGCTCAGTGGTGACTGTTTTTTGTATCTCCCGCTCCTCAGGCTAACATCAGGTTTAAGCCATCCTATCGAAAATCTGTTTGAGTTCTTGTGAGAAGAACTGAAGAGAGCTCTCTCTCATTAGCTCCATGTGCAGGGCTTTGGGAACTGCTCTGTGCATGCATCCTGGAACTTGGTAATAACAGACCAGACTCACTTCCCTGCCAGTTTGCCATGCTCTAAATCTCCTGTCTCACTGGAATAGACCTTTTTTAGTTAATCAATAAATAATCTAGAGGAATTTTTTTATTTTATATCCCATGACAGGGTTGAATTCAGAGAATGTTATAAAAAGGGACCACAGCTATTTTTTTGATGCTGGATATTAAATTCTTGGCCTTGCACATGGTAAGCACACACTCTTATGGTGCCAACGTTACTCACCAGGCAGACTGAAGTATTCCTTAGACCAGGTTATGTCAAATTACCTGAAATAGCTATTGATTGTGAATGTCTGTTTTGGGGTGTCACGGATTGAACCACAACTTCATCCATGCTATGCATGTGCTTTAACACTGATCTACATTCCCAGACTTGGTTGAGAAATTTTAACAATACTACTGTCACACCAACTGAAAAGGTATACATAAGCAAGAAAAAAATTAAGAGGATATGAGTCTTATTATGATATGGAGTGTCTTGTTTATTTTTATTTCTCGAGGACAGGCTCCTATGCATTGCCCAGGATGGCCTCAAACCCCTGGGTTTAAGTGATCCTCCTGCTTCAAACTTCCAAGCAGAAGAGAGTACAGCCATGCACTTAGTTTTGAAGTCTTGGTCTAATGTCAATTTCTCATCCTGCTTTGTAGTTTGAATATCTCCTATTATGGCATCAGATACTGTGGTGAACTTTGTGTGATTCATTATATATAGGTACAATGTTTGTTTCTTCAAATTTAGAAGTTTTCCAGCTTCTGCTTATAGTGTTTTAGAAAAGAGCAGTTTATGTTCTTAGTAATTCAAATCTGCAGATTAATTTAAAAAACCCACAAAAACAAAAATGAGTTTCTTTCTTTTCTTTCTTTGCAGTGCTGGGGATTGAACTAAGGCCTCATGATACTGAACAAGTGTTGTACCACTGTTATGGTTTGGGGCATATTTTTGCAAGGGAACGCAATATAATACAGGACACATATTTTATAAGATTATTTATAATATTCACCCAAAGAATGATATACAAAAGAGTGAAAGAAATCTGTCCACATATTAAGGTCAAGAAATCGAGGTGAGGGCCTGGACCCCAAGAAATGTCCTGCATGAGTCCAACTTAAGACCTAGAGGTCGTAACAATGCCTTCCATGAGTCCAACCGGAGGCCCAGAGCCCATAACAATATCTCATGCAGGCCTGTTTCATGGATCTGCACTGGGAAGGCCCAAAAGTCAGTGGTGGAATCTAGCAAGTCTGTGCCAGCAGGATGAAGGATCTGTACTAGCAGGCTAAGGGATCTGCACCGGAGCTAGGAAGCAACACTCAGAAGAACCAGAACTCCCCCAAAAGGTACCACAGCCATCCTTAGCAACAGCAAGGTCCCGAGCTCCTCTGATGATTAAGGTGGCCACATTCCCATCAGGGAAGCCAATGCAGCAAGCTTCTCTAGGAGACCGGCAGTGCACCATCTTCCCTTCTGGGGCCAGGAAGCAATGCTCCAGGTGAGGACCAGAGCTCTCCCAAAGTGAATCAAAGCCATTCTCAGTGCCAACAAGGTCCCGAGCTCCTTGGAGGATGAAAACAGCCAAGTTCATCAGGAAAACCATAATGACGAGTGCCTCCAAAACAACCAACAGCTCCCCACAGCTTCTACCAGCTCCCAACAGCCTCTCTCAGCTCCCAACAGCCTTCTTCTTCTCCCAGTCTGCCTCTTATGCTGCTGGCAACAATCCTCAGGTTGGCCTCCTACACCCAGCACCATGCTTACTCAGTTCAGTTGGGGGTTATAAGTTGACCACCAGTTATCAATCCTCTACAACCATTGAGTTACACCCACAGCCTTCCCTCCATTTTTTTTTTTTTTTTTTTTTTTAAACAGCGTCTCCCTAAGTAGTCTAGTCTGGTCTCAAACTCACAGTCCTGCATCAGCCTCTAGCACGTGCACGGCATGTGCCCCTCTGTTACTGGATAGCTCCTTCTAAAAGTGGCTCGGCAATCAAACGTTACCAGGTTTTGTAGTTCTTGCCTCTCATTCTGCAGAGGTTCTTCTTGTCTTAAACAAGGAATTCAATAAAATGAGCAAAAAGCAGTGGCAAAGTTTATTTGAAAAAGTAAAAGCAAAGAGTGAGGAAGACACTGGCTCTGCAGAGTGAGCGTGGGTGGAGGGAAAGAGAAAAAGGCAAGATAAAAAACACCCTGGAGAAAGCAGTGCAGGCCCTTGTGAGCAGAGGCATGGCAGAAAGCTCTTCTTGGCATCTGTGTCCTTTTATACCATCCAGATCTCAAGGAAACCCATGAGAATTTCTGCATCCGGGTCCTGAGAGGCCGTGCTGGGATCCCACGCTTCAGGCTGACGTCAGCTCTAGGCCCGCCTATTGAAAACTTGCTCGAGTTCCAGGAGAAGCCCAGGTGCAGGGCTTTGGGAACTGTTCTGTGTGTGTCCAGGATCTTGTAATCAACAAATTGTGCTTCTTTCTCCAGCCAGTTTTGCCATGCCCTAATCTCCTATGCCACCTACTGATGTCTGTGTCACCTTCTGGTTTATTCCAGGAATATAAACCTATGTTACTCTTCAGTGTAACCCACTTCTTAACCAAATAGCTGTTCTAAAATTGGGTAGGGTTTTTTTTCTGAGAGGACAATAAAGACAAAAAGGGTTGGATAATTCTTATTGTGACAACTTCCCTGTTCTTATTAACTGGACAGGAGCAGTGGCATCATGAAGAAAAATAGCCATGCCATCTATCTATTCTTTGAGAACTTGCACGCACTAGTTTTTTCTCTCCCTGCCTTTGCCCTCCCCTCCCCTCTCCTACCTTCTCCTCTCCTGTCAATGTCTTGTTCTCTCCTTTTAAATGAGGTCTCACAGTGAAGCATTACTAGTAACACATTTTAAAAATAACTGTAAACTAGAGTTGGGTGTGGTGGCACACGCCTGTAACCCAGCACTTGGGAGGCTGAGGCAAGAGGATCCTGGTGAGATCGAGGCCAGCCTGGGCTACATAGCAAGACTCTGTCTCAAAGTGTGTGTGTGTGCGGGGAGAGGGAGTTGTCTTACTGTTATCCTCAGATTTGCTGAGAAGTGGCTGGTCTCACACTCTTGAGTCCTGAGCAGTGGGGACAGGGTGTGGGCCACTGCTCCTCAGTGGTTAACTCTCATGATGACAAAGCTTGAGTGAAAATCCCAAGAGCAGGTGAGCATGCATCTTCAAGCTGTCCTCAGCGGCACTTCCAGCCTCTCCCCACAGACTTGTAGCAATAAAGCACTTTAATCATTACAGGAACACAGAAAGCACAGCAGAGAAAACTGTTTTCCTAGTGACAACGATCTGGCAAACGCTAATGCAAACGTACAGTTTACTCCAAGTAACTCTGTGACTTTGTCCTAGGCTCTCTCCCCATGCACTGCTTTCTGTGTTCTGAATACTGGGCCTCAGTAGCCTCCTGGGACACCCCTGCTGGGGCCTAGCGGTGTGGCTCAGTGGTAGAGTGCTTGCCTCGAGGGTTAGAGGCTCTGAGTTCAGCCCATCTTGGGGAAAAACAAGGTTATCACAGAGAAAGGCTCTTCTGCTCAGAAAGCCTCAGCAAGTCCCCATCCCTCCCGGTCCTTTCCCTCGGGGAGGCCTCAGCATCCTCATCCTTCCTTTCTGTCCCTTCTCCTCCCTTGGGTCTGCCCTGGGAAGTGCACCTTTTCTCACATCCCTGCTCTGGAAGTGTGTGCTGCTGATGACCTGAAGGAAATCATCTTCAGTACAGTCCGAGAGACGTGCCCGGTCAGTAACGCATTTGATTGCAATCGAAGCTGCGCCTCCTACTTTGCAGGTGTGGCTCCTCTGAAGATCTGGACCTGGGAAGATTGATCACCATGTGTTGTCCAAGTGGGCCCTCGGTAGATGGTGGCCTTTATTGAAATGAAGGGCTTCAAAGGTGTGGATCGAGCCACAGCCAAGGAGCACAGGTGACCCCCAGAAGCTGGAAAATGCAAGAAAACAGAAACAGACCCTTCCTAGGAGCTCCCAGGAGGACCCAGCGCTGCTGACACCCGACTTCTGCCTGCTGAAATTGACTTGGACACCCAACCTCCAGAACTGTTAAAGGTATAGATTTGTTATTTTTAAAAAGCCTTCTTCTCTCTGCAGTCCATTAAGAATCTCAAATCTCTACTTACTAACATTGCTTGAGACTCTAGCTTCTTGAATCTGAAGCGTTTTGAAAACTCTCAGCCGGGAACTCTTGAGTTTCCTCCACACCAGCTCTTTCTTCTGAAATATCCTTCCTTCTGACTGCAGGGGACTTTCATTCTAGTTTCCCCTCTCTAGCTTCCTGCATTTTTTAAGTCTTTTTTTTCTTCTGTGGCTTTCCTCATGGCTTTCCGCATGGCTTCCTCAGGCTTACTTTTCAAACATACTAAATTCCTTTAGCTGTGTCTATTGTTTAACCTTTCATTTAACAGTTTATTGAACATTTAAACTGCCTATATGTTTAACTTCTGAAAGTTCTGCTTGGTACTTTTTAAAATCTGTACAACCTCTCTTTCAAGCTCCCTTTTAAATGTTTTACTCCTTTTTAGAGACTTGATTTATCAATTTATATTTAATTGACTTAACATCCTTTAACATGTTCTTTCATATTTGCTGATTTCTACTCACTATTTCCTTGAATCTTTTGCCATCTTTCATTCTGAGCTTGTGCTTGGGGGTGAGGGTGGGGAGCTTGTTTCCTTTTGAGAATCTATGTGTCCTCATTGTGCAAAATAAAAATTACTGGGCTAGCAATGTAGCTCAGCGGTAGAGCCCTTGTATGTGTGAAGCCCTAGATTCTATCCCCGGTACTGTAAAAAATAAAACACAATAAAAATTACACACCTATATCCCCACAGCACTTGGGAGACTGAGATGGTAGGATCCTGAGCCTGAGGCCCTGTCTCAAACAAATAAACAACCATTGCAGGAGGCCATTGTTTTAGACTAAGCTCTTGCCCCTACGGGCCAGGTTAAGAACTAAAATGGAGTCACTCATGCTAAAATTTTACTGTGAGTTGTTATCTGACCTTAAAGAAATCAGAAGAGAGAGGACAGCCAGATTCCCCAAACAGACCAGACAAAGCTGTCATGATAATAAACTTTCCTCTCCTTTAATCTCTACTCCCCAAAGTGATCTGCCATAACTTGGTGTTAACCAGTTGGTTGTTGTTCTACTCTCCTGTCTCCCTACCGCCCTCACCCCTGAAAGTAACTTTGAAATGATCTTTTTCTTGGAACCCAGGATCTTGTCTGTTCTAGGCTAGTGTTCTGCTACCAAGCCATATCCTCAGCTCCAGCTCTTTTCTATCTATAAAACTACCTGCTCCACTTAATCCCTGGGAACACTTTTTCTATTTTATAGAGTGGGACATTACCTGATTCTAGAATTACAAATTAAGCCAATTAAAGTCTTTATTTAAAAAGAAATGTATTGTTATAGTTTTCTGAGACAGGGTCTTCCTATATAGTTTAGGCTGGTTTTGAACTCATCATGTATAACAGGCTGCCCTTGAACTCATGGTGATCCTCCTGCATCAGCCTGCTGAATACTGAGTGCTGTGATTATAGGTGAGAGTCACTACACCCAGTTAGATATTTTTTCTTTGTTTTGTTTTGTTTTTACTTTTTAAGACAAAGGCCTCACTTTGTAGTGCTGGCTGGCTTTGAACTCACTATATAGCCCAGGGCTGCCCTTGAACTCCCAGTGATCCTCCTGCCTCAGCCTTCCAGGTGCTGGGATTACAGGCATTCACCACCATGCCTGGCTCCAGCAACCAACTTCATGGCTTGGGGTAACTGGGTTGTAAACACCAGCTCCACCTCTGGTTGCAGAGCAAGCCTGCAGTTCTGAGTCTGCAGGGAGCCTTTTCTTTTTGCCCAGTGCCCAGAGCAGACGAACTTCGTTTCCACAGCGCGTCGGTGGCGAGTCTGTCCTGGAGCAGCCTTTGCACTCAGTGCTGCCTGTGGGCAGTGCCCTCGGTTCCGAGCACCTTCCAGTGAAGCTTCCAGGTCTCGTGCTCCGGCGCCAAGGGCACTGTGCCCCTGGCCCAGGGCAGTCAGTGTCACTCAGGCAACTCTGGCATCAATCACCTACCTTTTGCCACCCTCTCTTCTGTTTAAAGATTGGCTTTACATGAAAAGCCCTTCTGTTCTAACAGTCTTGGGGACTTTAGGCCATCTCAGTCACCTGTATTGGCAGAAATAGCAATCACCACCAAGCAAATAGGCTAAGCTGTAAGTCTGGCCCTTTGGTTGCTTCTGCGTCTTAGGGGTGACTTGGTAGACAAATTGGAGCTGCTGTTTGAACCCCTGCTCCGCTCCATCCTGCGCTGGACAGACCGCACAGGTGCATCTGATCGGCCTGGGCCCAGCGCTCCCCAGAGCTTGCTGTCCAGCAGTGTGAGGGAGGCCTCCTTCCAGCCTGCACTGTCCCCCCAAACACAGCAGGGGCCTGAGCAGGTTAGCGCAGGAGCTCTGACTCTGCCCACGCCTGGTCCTCAGTCCCAGTTCTGTCACTATTACCAGTTCTTGACCCCAAATTAGCTCCTTTTTTCCTCTCAGATCTGTGGAACCCATGACAGGACCAAGTGCTGACTGAGCAGTAGACTTCTCACTCTTGGCAAAGGAGCGGGTGAGAGGTTGCAGATACAGGGTGAAAAAAAAAAGGGGAGGGACATGCTTCTTTTCTGGGAGTGGGAGGAGACTGTCCAGGAATTTGGGTGCTTCTTGTTGCTTCTTTTATGGTTCTCTCTGGTCGTTGTCCCTGGGACTGTCCTGCTCCGGGACAGGCTGCAGGGATTATAGTGAGGTTCAAGGTTCCTGGCAGTCAGCCTGGCAACCACCTTAGATCCAGCCAGTTTCAGCTGGCCCACCTGAGAGAGACCTCTGCCTACAGGCTTCCCGTCCTGAAACACAAACACGCTTAGGGTGGAGCAGAAATTCAGCCAGGCCACCCGGGCAGTACAAGATTAGGGTGGGGTTCATCACTAATCTGGTTGTGGGATCAAAGGCTAATTATTTTCCTGTGAACTTCAGTATTTCTAGATATAAAACTGAGACAGACTGAGAGTATAGCTCAGTGGTCAAGTGAGTGTGTTCAAGGTCTCCAGTGCACCCCACCCACACACAACCACACACGTGTACACACACACACCACACACACAGGGGCAGTAATATTGTACTCTGTTTTATCTGATTGTCTTAGTAAAGATTAAATAAACACTATGTAAAGCTGGGCATAGTGGTGCACCCCTGTAATCCCAGTACTCAGGAGACTGAGGCAGGAGGATCACTGAGTTTGAGGCCAGCCTAGAATAGACAGTGAATTTAAGGCCAGCCTAGATTACATAGTCAGACACTGTCTCAAAAAAACCCCCACACACAAAAAGCCCACCAAAACTGCTCCCCAGAACAAAAACAAACACCATGTACAAAGGCTTAGCATACACAGTGTTGGCACATAGTATAGTATTTTCTACCAATGAACAGTATTCTTGGTACCTCTCATGAAAGGAAGAAAAGTAATGAAACATTTCTGAGCTCCTTGGTCCTCGGTTCTGGACTCCTCCTCCGGACTGTCTGGTTTCCTTACATCTGGGGCACTCTAAGACAAAGCAAAAAGAAGCACCCAGATTCCTGGACAGTCTCTACCCATTCCCAGAAAAGAGCAATATCCCTTCCCTCATTTTTTTACCCTGTATATATAACTTCTCACCCTCTCCTTTGCCAAGAATGAGAAGTCTACTGCTTAGTCAGCACTTGGTCTTGTTCTGTCCCTGGTCCCACGCACATGCAGAAGCCTCCCCGAGATTCCCTTTGTGGTCAAGATGAGTACGCACCCCTTACATATGGGTGTCGGTGAAGGACGTGCGCAAGCGTGGCTCGCAGCCACCGTTTGATTTTGACAGAACCCAAGTGTGGAGGGACGGTGAGGGTTCCTCACACGGGCCCAGCTCCTGCTCAGCAGGCACTTCTGGTGTGGATGAAACCAGGCGGGAAACTCCAAGGTGCTCCTGAGGACACCGTGGCCCAGCCTGGAGGACAAGACCCCATGTGCAGTCCAGGAAGCTGGAGCCCAAGCGTCTTATGTTTTAGCAGTTTTCTATATGTGCCTGAGAATGGGGGCATTGTCTCTATCGTTTTGCACTTTTCCATGGTGTGCAGAAGAGGCCCTGAACAAAAGACCTGTCAATGATGCAGAATTCCTAACTCAAGGGCCGCCCAGGGGTGAGTGGAAAGGCCCAGAAGAAAGCTGAGTCACTGCTTGGCTGCTTATGAGAAAGGCCTCAGCTTTGTTTCTGCACCAGGAGCTGGTGAAGGATGAGGGCAGAGTCCTTGAAAGAAGCCTCTTGCGTAAGAGCGTTGCGTAAGAGCCTTGCATTTGATATTTCCATTTCCATAGAGGAAAACACAGAAATGGACGGTGCAGATTCTTCCTCCCACACTGGCCCAAGTTTCCCTGGGGCAGTAGGAGGAATCATTCTCAAAGCTCACATCACATCACCTGGACACAGACTGGAGCTAGATAAACAGCTGGCAACATCTGTCAGTAGCTCAGTTTGTGTGTCCATCTACCTCCTTTTGGATATACCTTCATTCTTTTATTTTCTTTCTTCTTGAGACAGTTGTAGTTCAGGCTGGCCTTGAACTCACTCTGTAGCCCCATCTGGCCTCGAACTAATGATTATCCTCCTGCCTCAGCCTCCCGAGTGCTGGGATTACAGGTGTGTGCCCCCACCCCGGGCCCATCTCCTCGTCCTTGCAACACAGTGTGCCTCTTATTCCAACTCATCCACCAGCTTGAGGTTCTGCAAATGTCAAAGAATGAACACAAGGAGGATGTTAGGAGAGTTTCTATCGGAAATGAGAAGAACCACTTCCTGATTTCCAGGAAGGGTCCCGAGGGGGTGGCTGCATGGCTCCTTGATCCAGAACACAGGAATTGCTCGATTGTTCGGCGGCCGCTTACTGAAGGTGGCTCTGTGGATTTAAATGATCAGATGGAACTCAGGATCCTAACTGAGTTCTTTCAACATGTAGGGTTTAAAGGAAACTGGAATCTTAGAAAAAAACTG